CCATAAATTATATCAATAATTTTCAGAACTTCAATTACATATACTAAATGTGAATACAGGGTTACAGATTATAGTTTGGTCCTTCAACTCTGATCTTGGAGAGCTCAAATGCAGTCAGTCAATCTTACAGGTCTCTCTAAATTACCTGTATATAAAGACACAAGTAATAGGTTCATTCCATGCTGAAAAGAGAAGAAAGAAAACACATTAGCTGTCTACCCTTCTTCGGGTTTGAGTCTCTCTATATAAAGACTGTGCTTATATAGGATATACAGTACAGGACAGAGGGTATATGTAAGTTGAGCATTTTATCACCTCAGTTAGGGGATCTCTGGTTTAGAAGTGCTGAAGAGTTTTCCAAAATCTCAGAATTGCTCATTATAGCATGATCTGCATAGTTGATCTCAGTATGATTGTTGCAAGCCTTCAGAAATTGACTATATAATGGGCATCTCTAAAACTCACAGGATTGCAGCTCTCCAGGAGCAGGACTGGAAAGTACTGGGCTATAGCACACAAACTGAAATTCAGCTAGATTCTAAACCAAAACTAGGTTCATCCAGTTCTCAGGGGTTACAGCACCCTCTTTCAGTCCATACCCGATCTTGGTTTTTCTATAGAGGACAGATCAGCTTTTTAAGCCATTTGCTCGTTTAAAAGAAAAAGCAAAACCTAGGAAACAAGCTACATGGGCCTAATGTCCTCCTCACCTTTGTACCTTTTATTTATTTAAAAACTGCAAAACCCTGGTGCTCAATCAGCGGAATTACCCAAACGAGCTGTAAGCAATGGTCTTGCACTAAAGGAACTTAAAACTCTATGCCCAAAATTAGCAGCAGTTAAATCATTTGAACTTACCAGTCAAGTCCCACAGTCATCGGTTTTAGCAGCAGCTACTAGATCCTGAATCCACCCCAGTCACAGAAATATCCTAATTGAAAATTCGCTGAAAGCATACAAACCACTCCCAAGATCCAAAAAGGTTGTGGAGCTCAACTTACAAACCCTCAGCCACAGCAGGGTGCAAAAGAATGCATGTCTGCAATTTCTGTTAATTAGTTCAGCTGTGTTTCACAATGATGAAGCCATCAGAAACACACACACAGCACACAGTTGCATTCATTTACTCAATTAAGCACATCACTCCCCTGTTAAGCTTGGAAAACAAAATCTCTGGTTTCAAGTTTCTGGTCTCAAGTACAAATTTCTGGTTCTGAGAGCCCTATACTACTAATAAATTCAAAAACAGACACATAGCAGCATTACCTACAGGGCATTCTTACCTGAATATGTTCATTAACACAATATTACATGTAACCAGGGAGTTTGAAATCAATACCGTGCTAACCAGCAAACTTTCTACCTCAATATCCTGTAAATAAAATTGCTAACACAGAACAAATAGAATTGTAATTGTATCGCTTCAATGATGATAAAACGGCAGGACCAATTCTCTTTTGGCAAACCACTACTAATCACTTCCTGCCTTTATTGTACCAGGGGGTTGTTTCACTTTGCAAGCAGGTGAAAAAGTTAGCACAATACCCAATATATTAAACACAACATTAATCCATTAACAAATAAAAAACATACATGCATAAGATAGACAAACAAGTCAGAAGATTTAAATACTCCTCATAATCCAGAGTGAGATAAATTAAGATGTTGGGTTGACAGTGAGTGAGATAGATCCACAAGATTCACACTGCACATGATGTAAAGCAAGTATAACAACCTGTTACTTGTCCAAACTGAGCAGTTAATAGCCTAGGGAACAAAAGACAACCTTGTTCCCTCGAGCTGAGGTACCTCTGCTTGACTTGAGTTGTTGAATGTACTCCCACTGCCCCTATGCAATATCAATATGAGCTACATTTCGAACTGCCCTTCTGGAATTAGAAACTGTAGTTTCCCATTTTTTTTCCTTTCCCTTTGAGACTTCCAAATTCTCAGAACCTCCATATTCCCATCTTTTCCTCACATGTTCCCTGGAACAGACAATAAAATGTTTTTTTTCAAAGCTTGTAAGAGTCTGTAAACATTAAACAGCTGCTACTACCCACATTCATCCACAACACTGGTGTTTTCATGAGTCACAGAAATCCATTTATGTCTGCTAAAGAGTGTGTGTGTGTGTAGGGTGGACCGGGCTTATTTTAAATAGCTGAAACACTCGAAGAACGCAGAAACTGAAATTTGTTCCACCAGGATCAAAATCAAGAACACCTTCATTTAAAAAGCTTCTTAATGTTTGGCGTGGTATAGATCAGTAAGTAGGACCCCTCTGGATCTCAAACGATGATTAAGCGAAACTGGCTCTAAATGTGTTAAGGGGCAGGGAAAGGAGGCAGAAAAGAAATTCAGAGGCCTTTAACCCAAGACTCCATTGGACTTCCCAAGCCCTTCTCTTGATCTAGAAGTGTAATTAAAGAGACTTCAAAGTGGGAGTGATCAATAGGCCTGCAGAGCGACCAGTGTTCTGTTTGAAAAGCCTTTCCTTCAGACCTGTCATGTGAGAATCCACACAGACCGTCGGGCGGCCCAGGGAAAATAAGAGATCACACTGGCAGGTGACTGGGGCACCACGAACAACTCAATTAGCTGTGTGGTATCAGTTCTGGGAGCTCTAAGAGCCCCGACTGCTCTGCACACTCACCCACCAGCTACAGCAGACTCTCCAGCAATGGCAGAAACAGGAGATGATCGATATCTTCAGAAAACCGCCACTTAACTAAAATAACACCAATTGTAGAGCTGAAGGGCATTCGTGGTTTTTAAAGCGGTGGACTTTCTGATGATATTTTTGCTGTAAGGGACTTTTTTTTTCCCTTTGGTCTGCCTGTTTTCCTGTTACTGTGCTGCTGTCTGTCTCCCAGTAATAATGAGAGTGAGGGCCTTTTCAGTGCTTGAACGGTGAGCAAAAGCGAGCTCTGGACTTTTTAATTAAGGAAGACCATTCGCAACTTCCAGATAGGGTTCCACCAGCCAATCGTCGGTGAGGGTTCTTCCTACAAGCCGGGAGATTAAAAGTTCCTTTTGTTCAGCTGAGAGAATGGAACAATATGCTCTGTGCAGCACAAAGCCGTGCCACCACAATCCACTACAAGATTGAACCGTGTTGCATGGATTTAATTCTTTTCAAAACTGCCCTCCCACCAAATTGTTACGTTAAATCGTCTTTTCTGTCCCTGCTTGTGTCAATGTGCAATGCAACATATCTCTAATACTGCAATCTGTGACTCCGAGGGCCTGCATTACAACTTCAGGATAGAACAACAAGATTACTCATGTATTTGGAAAGCTGTGAAAATTCTCGTGCTTGCATGGCTTATCTAAAATGCGTATCCACAGAGCAAGTACAGTTTCTGCACAGGAAAAGTGTGCCGAGTCTTGGGGATATCTAGATCAGGTGCAGATTAAGTAATGGACTCTAATGAAAGAACTAATACCATCTGTCCAAATTCCATTGGCTATAGGAATTGGAACACAACATACAGAGCATGTTCAGCAATTGCAATTAGTAATTCAGAGAGTGAAACAAGCTGCCCAGCCATGTTCTTGAAGCACATAACCCTTGATTCTTTTAAAGGACAGCAGGAGAAGATCCTCTGATCAAATACCTGCTAATGACCACATAGGCTAGATGGGCTGACTCATTTTTAACCATTCTTATGTTACATTCTAAAGAGGAGCACTACTGTAGTTCCGAGAACACAAAGAGTCCAGAATAAACTGCACACCCGCACAGACCACCAGGTACAGCGGTGCACAGGGGTCTGCAGTCTGCAGGCCTGGTGAGCCACAGTTAGGTCTTCTTTTTTGCCCAGGCGAGCTTTGAATGATTTAATTGGATCATCCAATTGCTTGACAAGGAGCCCTGCTCTCTGTTCGTTAGGCATTTAGAGCTGCAAACCTGTAGGGTTACTGCCCTCCAGGACCAGGACTGCAGATCGCTGATTCGGCGCTGTTTGGATCTGCCTGTGAGTTAGAGTTAAGAGTTAGGCGTGTGCAGCCACAGCACCCAGATATGCAAGAGCCAATTACTTTCAATCCCCCCAAACCAGTGGGGAGAAGCTCCAGGCTCCGTTTATTCTCCGAGTCCCAGTCCAGTTTTTGCAGGACACCCAAACTCGCCCGTTTCTATAGTCCGAAAACCCCAAGCTGTCAATCAAACAAGCAAGGTTTCATTCTGAAGATCTGTAAAGCATCCCAAATAGTGCAGCCAATTGGTTTCTTATTTTGATAACAGCTTGTAAAGATACTGTAGGACATAAAACATTTTAATGGGGGTGGCAACATGCCTCAGTTTCAAGACACGTTGATGAACTTATTTGTTACGCATCCAGTCAGAACTGGCAACGTTATCTTAACGTTATCGTAATAGAAGAAACATGACTGACCTTTTACAAGCCAGATAATTCTAGCTGCTAGGCTTCTCCAAAGATTTAATTTCTTTTTTTTTCTTTTGCAGTGCATGAGGTCCATATCTAACTGCTCCTAGAAACGAAGACCCGTGGCTGACATTCTGCCGTTAAAGCGTTTGTGAGAAACCCTGTCCCTACTTCCTTCGGTGCGGGTTGTGTGTGTACTGTACGACTGCGTGTAAGATCGGAGCGGAGATGGTCTGTGTGTTTATGATCACAAATCTGTTTTACTCCCAGGCTGCTCTTAGTTGATTTGTTAAAAAAAATAATTACTTTTCTCTTAGCCACCGAAAGGAACTTTTGTAAATAAATGACAGCCGTGTGCTCATTAGTTAATTACGGTTTTGGTACTAAACTTCATTACTCTGCTCTCCTCCCCACTGAGAGCTGGTGTGTGGGGAGTGTATTGGCGCACTATGGCTGCCGTCGCATCATCCAGGTGGGGCTGCACACTGGTGGTGGTGGAGGGGATCCCCATTACCTGTAAAGCGCTTTGAGTGGAGTGTCCAGAAAAGCGCTATATAAGTGTTAGCAATTATTATTATTATTATTATTATTATTAAACAGCAACTCGAATGCGTTGATGCTGCGCTGATGAAAATCCGATTATTCTTCATTTCCGCTGCACAGTTGATTTCCCATCCAGCGCGGCGAGGAGGCACATCCCAGGAGGCAGGTAATGACAAAGAACACCCACAAAAAACAACTGACATGGCAAATGGAAACTCTTATCCACAGTTAATAACATTTCTGAGATATGTGTTTCAGCTCCGCGACTGTTACACGAAGACCGCCTGCGCTTGGTCTGTCCCTGCCCCCTGCTGGACATTTGTAGGATTGCACGATTTTTAAATTCGAGAGGGGGGGTTATAAAGACCACAGGAGGGCCCTCTACTGAATTTGTTCATTTGCTGGTGATCGTTTCACAGGTAACACTGCTAAAGTGATTTGTACACGACAGCACAATTCTGTATCTGAAAAGAAACTCGGCGTGTTCCACCTTTTAATCTGGGACATCCGGTACACAGACACAGCCCAAGTTACGCGATTTCAGAGCACTTGCAGTTGTTGCACACAGATTTGGCATTCAATTCTACAGCCGGGATTAATGGAATTGTAAGAAATGTACTACAGAGACAACAATCATATATTGCAACACAGTGCTACATTGTTATTAATATTACAGCATCACATGAAAGAATCCAAACAATAGGGCGTCATAGAAAAAAAAATAGATTATCGGTATCTGTATTTCTAGATACACATTGCGTGCTGTGAATGAAAAGCGGGACCGCAAGCGCCTCAGGTTTCATTCTGATATTTTATAGCTTATAACTCCGTTATCATCAGGAGGAGCAGAAGTAGTTGCAGTCTTGGTAAGACAGAGTTTTAGAAGCGGCTCCAAGCACTCCCTCTGCGTGGCCGTATCGGTCTGCAGGAGTTTCAGCGGCTCATAGAGCCTGAAGTCACGCTGGACGTCGGAGTTTGATCCGGTGGGAACCGACCGGAAGTTCGGGCTCGCCCGCCCCGGGGCGTCTCTGTCCGCGGGCTGGCCGCTGTCCGTCTCCCCTCTCCTGCCCATGGTGAGGATGCCGGCGGCGTGGTTCCCGGAGCCGTGGAGCAGCTGGTGGAGCCGGGCTTGGAAGCCCTGGCCGGGGGGTTTCCTCTTGCTGAGGGTCAGGATGCCCGCGGCGTGGTTGCCCAGGCCGTGCAGCAGGTCGTAGACGCGACAGGAGCAGGTCTGCCGCCGGCAGCAGTCCGGGACGTCCGCAGATCCGCCGGCGAGGGTGAAGAGCAGCGCCAGCAGGAGGGAGTTTCGGAGCTTCTGGGAAAATACGGTTTGTTTGTTTGTTGTTGTTTTTTTAAACAAAAACTAAAGAATTAAAAAAGCCGACGCAATTAGATTAAGAAGACACGATTATGCATTTCCCGAAACAAAATCACTGCTCTCAGAGCAAACTACGCCGAATCACCCGTTTACCACGGAAGCGCATTGCTGCCGACAAGGAACCATCGCCCGAGATCGCGCAATTAATAGAGAGTTCTCTGGTAATTACAAAATGGTATATTATCTCGTTATTACGAGACCGCAATGACCATTTGAGTGTACGAACAACCTATTACATTGCAATAACGGCACATAGAAGCAGCCGCTTGCTCACCTGGAGTTTGGGTTTGGTATTTGTGTCTATATCCAGCTCTGCAGAATGGGGACGGGTTTACTTTCTGTTGCAGTTTGTACCTCATGTAAATACCATCCTTTTAAGCACGATGGCACTTGCACTTTATCCTTAAACCAGGAAGACTGTACCGTGCAATCGATTCTACTGCTCGATTCTCTGACCGCTGTTCCAACTGAGCTCTCGGTCCTGCCCTCTGCAGCTCGGCTCGTCTCATTCGACGCACGGGACATGGGTCTGGACAGACACCCGAGCTTTCAGAAATACCCCGTAACGAGTTCAAAGTGCCCATGGAACTGCTTCATGTGCTCCACGTGCTCCTGGTGGTTCTCTTGACGTTGAAACGGCAAAAAAAAAAAACGAATGGACTTTGTCTAATTGGTCAGGTGCATGAATTCAATGAGATGTGAGAACTGAAAGGGGGAGGAATCCTTCAAGTAGTCTACAGGCTAAGACTCTTATTTCAAGCCCTATCACAGGGGGTATTCTGGTGAAGCCGGCCTGCAGGGATCTGCAGAAGCACAGCCTCTGTGGGACTATCACGCTAACACAGCACATGCGGTTATCACGCAAGAATGCTTTGGATTTATTTGGTACTTTCTATCCCATAAGAATCTCTTTAACATATAAAGAGGGGTTTCACACGTAGGAAGAGGCACGCTTAAGGCAGCTTCCGCCTGGACAGCATGTAGATGCTATTCTGTACCAGCAGCCCCACCTGGGTGACGCATAGCTGCCATTCTGCACCCTTCAGCCCCACTGCACAGGAGTTTAGACTGAGAAGGGAGACATTGCTTGAGCAGTTGAATGAAGGGCCACTTTAGCCAGGGTGGTTTGCACGAGCCTCGAGTGTAAGGCCAAGTCTACACATGTGCACGTGTGTGCATTTTGCTCGTGTCGGGTTATCTGTGCAGCTGATGATCAGCCCTAGCTGAGGCTGTGCAGCGTGCTCCATTTCTGCTGCCTATTTCACAAACTCCCCAGACAGACGGTCCAAGTCTAGAGTGCGAGACTTTTTTACAGCAGAGGAACAAGTAAAGGCTTTTCCCCTGCCGAGAAGAGAAGAAAAGGACCACAGCGGTTTCTCACCAAACCCACCCAGTCTGGAACTGCTGGTGGCTCTTGGCAGCGCCTCCTGTACGCCACCAGGACTGATTTTGCCACGCCCACGTCAGGCCCTGTTAGCCTTGGACATGCCAGCAGTGCCCGGCGACCTGCAGGCGCCTGGCACGACTGATGCCTGCCCAACCGCGGCGGTGATCTGCCCAGGGGTGGTCATGTGTGACACCGCTTGGTCAGAGCCGGCCAGCGCCGCGCACTGGACCCGAAAGGGCGACATCTGGACCGCGGAGCTCAGAACTGCTCTCCAGAAGGGTAACAAAGGTTCAGGGTGCATTGGAGAGCTTCCAGCACAGCTGTCGCACTGACAACAGACTGTCTTACGCCAGCCTAGATGATACTCCTAAAGCTGATATTCCTAAACCCCAGAAAAGGCCAGCAGAGGACTTGTCTTACCTTGGCTATAGAGGGGCCCATTTCAGGGCGTGAGCTGAAAGTGCTGGGGACACGATCCATTCTCTTCCCACCGGGAGTTCTGACACGCGGAGGGCTTGTTTCCACGCCGATCGCTCTCGGACAGCCCAGCATCCCTTTTATACTGTTCCACGGCCTTTTCCACCCCTTCATCTTTTCTGAATTGATCCACGTGGCAGCTCAAACAGAGTATTGCCTGGAAACGGGCATCTTTGGTTATTAAGCCAAGCAGTCGTTGCTCATTTAGTGTCGAACGGGACAATGCTGCTTGAGAAGTCTCAGTGGCTCTTTTCTTCCTTGGTCCTGCTCTTCAGCGCATCACCTGGATACTGTGCAGGAGTTTGCTAGGAGCTTCGGAAAGGCCTTTGTCATGGCCTGCAATTAGACTTTCTAGCAGGCACGAGCTCTCCGTCTTGGTACTAATTAGGAACTAATTACCTGATCAAAACCTAGGCCTCCGAAAAAGATATGCAGCAGCCAATGAGAAAAGGCATTTGCCTTTCATGCTATGGAAAATACCTTCGGTGTCTGACGCGGTTACCCTTCACACTGGAAGAATGGCCTTTTCTCCAGTTGCTCTAATGAGATGCTCATTATTAGGTTATTCTTCGCTACTCTTACAGGGGACCTGATAGAAGCATTCAAAGGCCTTGACAGTCCGCCCTCCTTCAGCATTGACAGTGCAACACGATCCAGGGGCCAAAGGTGAAAACCACCTGGAAGTGCATTTAAAACTGAGAGCAGGAGGCAGTTCTTTACCTAGAGGGTTGTGGGAGTGTGGAACAAGCTACTTAGTGATGCTGTTGAAGCTGATACCCTGGGATCTTTCCCTCAATGACACCCTTGGATCAGTAATCTACCTTCCGAAGGGGCTGGATGGACTGACTGGTCATCTGTAAGCTTTCTTACATTCTGTCCTGATTCTGCTTGAATGGGCACCACCAGGTTAACCAGACCGGTGGTCTTTTCAACAATACCATTCTTCTGAGCTGGTTGGATTAGTGTACCTCTCTTAGCTCGCGTTTCCTTTTTCCTATCGGGTCAGTTCCCAGTTGGCACGTCGACATCTTTCTTTACTTACAGTAGATGCTCTTAACACCAGACTTCTGCCATCTAACTCTGATATCACAGGCAAGAAGAAAAGAGGTTACTTAAAACCTAGAAATGGTATCAGCTGTTTATCAAATGATTCGTCTTTTAACTACTAGCTACTACTAGTAGCTTTTTTGCTACTACAAAAAAAGCTCCAGACCATGATAGAAGACTAATGCCTGGGACCTGTAATTTCTCCGATATGATGATTATGAACAGTCGTACCAAAACCGGGGTTTGCCCTTCTGACAACACTTGGAAATGTTTAGGAGACCCTTAATATCTGATTAAGAAGTTAATGCCTGTAAGTTGCAGCAGGACATTCCATATTGTTGAGAAAATGCCTTGTTTTGTTAACCTTTTGGGTGGTTTGGAATTATTAGGAGACCCTGAACAGGACACCCCTACATTAGTGAAATGTTCTAGTAAAAATACATTCAGAGTTAATGATTTATTGTAGTATTTTATTTCTAAATCTGCTCTATCTTTTCCTCAGCCCTTCAACTGTCACTGGTAACAATAAGCGTCAATGCTACATGTATATGAGATTGTACAGTACTTTCCATTATTCACAGTGAAATTTTGTGAGCTAGTAAATGTCTCCCTCTAGTGGATTCAGATTGAATTGTAGGTAAAACTAATCGTTGGAAGATGGAAATACTGATCCTGTCCAGTGTGCAACAGGGATCCTTGCTCATTGAACAGTGTTGCTCCGCAGGGACCTGGACAGCACTGAATTCCCCCTCTGCTTTTGCCTTGGTGGAATTTTCCACAGTCCAAGCGGCAGCACTGTCCAGTCTCTGAATCGGAGATGCCTGTGAGCAGTGGTGACTGATACAGCATAACAAGCTGAATACAAAAAAACAGAGACAGGTTTCTAATTCAACCAGGTTTAATGGGCTAGTTTGTTGACCAGACGATATTCACAGTAGCCATAAAATGAATTAGTTATTTTAAATCCTATTTTTTTTACAATATTATTTTCCCTCACCCTCCCCCCGTTCATTGACCGAAAGAACATCCCTCAGCAGGGTGATCGTGTATAAAGAAACAATATTAACATTGATTATTTATCATTACGATGATCAGGGACGCTGACCATTAAAAAAAACTATTTTCCAGAATGTCAGATTGTCTTTAAACTGAAAAAGATAACATCAGGACCTTACATTTCCTGTTGTTGTCTTTGCTTCACAAGAAAAGCCTGGTTATCATCACCTAACAGCCGGCCTCACATTTATAACACGATGGCATTTTTCCAGTTAGACCACAGCTCGTAAACCAATTTACAGTAACAACGCACTCCCGAAGACGCGCAGGTCCAGAAGAACACAACATACCGGAGAGAAAGTGTTTTAAAAAAATAACAAGAGAAGTGTGATGACTGCCGAAAGTGAATCTGGTGCTGTTCTCACTGTGTGGGCGTACCAGCACACGGATTGTTTTCAAGTGTCTTGCGGTTTTCTGCAAACAGCACGTTGCAGTGCGTTTGCACTGGTCCGTTCTCAAAGGCCGAGCTTCACCTCGGCCAGCAGCAGCAGCAGACGAAAGCTCCTGATCTTCTTCTTTTTTGCCAGCGGAGGTTAAAAACCCAGCCGATGTCCCCAGACCCCCTGGCACAGAAGATGCTGAGGGTCGCGAAAAATGCAGAGTGCCCAAAGGAGGAGGTTTGCTTGCTTTTATTTTCACATTGGGCACAACCTTTCAGGCTTTGAAAGAAAGCTGGTGCGTATGAGAGTCTGAAACACCAGGGAGTTTTTTTTCCTCGAACGCCAGTGGAGTGTGGAGAAGGCTGGTTTGTGGAGTGCCTATTGGTCACAACTGTACGGGAGATGGGCAGAAGAAGACTGACAGTGGAAGGGAGTGCTGTTGAAGTCCAGGCATGGCAGATCCGCATGCCAGCTGCAGTTTCTTCCCTTCTGCAAGCGACTGTCGGAATCTGGGCCAGGAAACTTTCCTCTGCCCTTGGCGTCTGGATCTGGGTCTCCAGCTGCCCTCTCAGACAAGGATGTGAGGCTAAGGAGCACGTTGCTTGGAGGGCGGTGGGGCGTCACTGCTGGGAAGAGTGGGGATATCCCGCAAAATGGAGCCGTCCTCATCGGGAGCGTCTTCCTGCTGGGAATCTGCCTTCCTGGCCGCCAGGCGCGCGGCGGAGGCAGAGGAGGCCGAGTTCTGGAGGTCTTCCTCGACGCTCTCTCGTGGCAGCGCCCCTCCGCCGGGTCTCTCAGCAGGACCCGGTGTCGCTGCCCGTTTCGCTCTCGGGGACGGGGTCCAGGCCGGAGCGCGCCCGCAGCAGCTCGGGGGAGGAGGAGGAGGAGGCGGCGGCGGCTCCGTTCTTCATGAGGCCGCAGGACTGGGCGGCGCAGTGGATCTGCCGCAGGGTGTCCAGCGCCTCACTCTTGGCGTGCCTCAGGAGGTCGGCCTGGCCCTGCAACACACACACACAGCCGGGCTCAATGAACGCCGGTTCCCCAGCCACGATGATGATGATAATCCCTACACTTATATAGCGCTTTCCTGGACACTCCACTCAAAGAGCTTTACAGGTCATGGGGATCCCCTGCACCCCCACCAGTGTGCAGCCCCACCTGGATGATGCGACGGCAGCCATAGTGCGCCAGAACGCTCCCCACACACCAGCTCTCAGTGGGGAGGAGAGCAGAGTGATGGAGCCAGTTCAGAGAGGGGGATTATTAGGAGGCCATGATTGGTGAAGACCAGGGGGAAATTTGGCCAGGACACTGGGGTTACAGCCCACTCTTTTTGAGAAACGCCCTGGGATTTTTAATGACCACAGGAAGTCAGGACCTCGGTTTTACTGCTCATCTGAAGGACGGTGCCTTTTTAAAGTATATTGTCCCCTTCATTATACTGGGACATCAGGACCCACAGAGACTGCAGGGTGAGCACCCCCTGCTAGCCCCACTAACACCTCTTCCAGCTGCAACCTTATTCGTTCCCAGGGGATCTCCCATCCAGGGTCTGACCAGGCTCAAACATGCTGAGCTTCAAGAGGGCTGCCAGCTGGGAACTGCAGGGTGATAATATGGCTGCTGGCTAATAATAATGATGCCAGCCAATGACTGCACCCTTCCCCGCCGATCCCTGCCCGCTTCTCTGTGTGGCCCAAAGCTGAAGGAAGCACACAGGCACTTGCATACATCCAGCTTGCAACCACTGCAAATTAAGTAAGAGATTCTGATTAGCGCATGTTTGCATGGAGACATACAGTATATGGAAGTTGGAATAGTTTTGGACGCGTAGCACAGAGGTTTGTCTGCATTGGTCAGATGTGGGCCAGGAAGGCTGCCGCCCAGTCTGCAGTGGCTGTTATCTGGGTTGTGTAGGTGCTGTTTAAGTGAATGTACTACTGCCCGTTTCATTAAACTGTGGAACGTTTGTAGCTGCAATAAGGCCTGGTAACTGAAACAGAAATTCCAGAAGGGGGCAGTGCTACGTAGAAATGTTGCTCAATTATGCACAAGGATAAAATCTGATCACGTGAGCTAAGCAGCGCATGGAAAAGGACAGGGCAGAAATCAACTTCCATTAAAGTATAAAACGGATAATGTGCATATGACTCAAAAGTGAAATTCCAAACCCAGCGATTGCGTGTATAATCTGTGGGTTTCATTTTCTACACTTACACAAACTTTTCTCGCTCTTCCCCATTTTTTGGTTTGAATTTGCTTTTCATTTCCTCTCAATGTTTCCTTTCACCGTTGCCGAGCGAATTCCCGATCAGCTCTGCTTCCCAAGGCCCGAGCAAAACTGGGACAAAACATTCATCCACACCTGTATTCGTATTCCTATCAACGGGAGTTTCTTTCTTCGGGGGGCAAGTTGGCCACAGACAAATGGAATCGATTTCTTGCACTAAAAATGCTTGTTGCACACAGGCACCCAGGTGTGGGTGTCAGATGTGAACCAACCTGGTTCTTTAATGCTCAGTCACATCATCACTTTCAGCAGTAGCAAGCGCAGTTCAAATCAATGCAATGATGACAACAGTTCAACTGTTCAACAGATAAGTGTTGGAACAGGATACAGCTGTGACTGTATGTTTCGTATACACGGGGACTTGCTTTGCTATATGCTAAAAGGTGAATAAAGAATATAGAGGGGAGATTTCCAACTGCTCTTGTACTGCAACTCAATGTGCTCATCGTCTGTAAGGGTGTAGATAAAGCTAACTTGACTTGCTGGCAGTGCCACACTAGGTGGCGCTGTCGGACTTCACAGAGAAGTGCAAGGGAGCAAACCTTGGACTGCTGTGTGTGACATGAAACAGCTGGCAAGTGTTCGCACAAGCTTCTGTGGATTATACCCAGCGCAAGAGCCAGATGGGAGAAAGAGTATTTTCCTTTATCGCTCTTTTAGGACAACCTATAGAGCTCCTTGGTCTGTGAAAGTATTAGCACTGGCCTGCAGGAAAAAAACTGAGCTTTAAGCATAAAGCCCCTGTTCTACTGCAAGTCAAAGCTTATACTGCCTAAGATCAACACACAAGAAGCCTGGTAAAAAATGTTTTTTTCCCCCATGCACGTTAGTGGCGCATTTAAGCAATATTGATTTAGACGCTTTGATGAACATGGTGGTGTTTTTTTCCCTTAGTGACTTTCTCGTGCCTGTTGGCACAAGGGGGACGTTCACAGGATGATTGAATGTGGACGAGGCAGCGCTCTCGTGTGGAGTGTGGCACAGGCGTGGGTGTGTAGTGCCTGCAAGTTGGATCCATCATCTCAAGCTGACAAGTCACAGAGCGGGGGAAGAACAGACATTAAAATTATTATCCCTGTTCCACGCTCCCCCTATAAATGATGTAGTCATCTTGACTACTGGCATTTTGCCTGATCAGCGCTGTGGCACCACTGCAGCATCTGTGCATGGACACAGGATTTTTATATCGCCATCACTCTCACGAGTCTCAGCCCCCTGACACGGGGGGATCTGAATGGAATGATGTTAAGGTCACAGCGGTGTGACATCACCCTATTTGGCTGCTTTATTAGCCCCTGTGTCCTATGGCAAGACCAAAACCAGCTCAGCAAGTGGATGCTTAGGGCTGGAAACTTCACAGAAGACAGAAGTGATCAGGGTTGAGTGTGACTGGGTCAGAGGATACCCATTCATCTACACTGCTCCCGATTCATCTTCAAGTTCCAGCAATGAGGTGAAGCACTAAATCTGAAACGGAGGAGGTGATGCTTGCAACAAGGGCTTTTGGGCTTGATTAACTGAGCCAAACGCATGCATGAACTTTGAAACGCAAGCTGCCTTTCTAAGCATTGGAGTCTGCACTGAGAGCAAGTCTAAAAAACCCAGAGTAACCCGGCTAAAAGCATCTGAACATCAATTCCTCTTTTACTGTCCTCTGGCAGAGATGCCAGACATCACCGGCCCAATTCTGCAAGTAAACAATAATTATAATAATAATTGCCTACACTTGTATAGTGCTTTTCTGGACACTCCACTCATAGTGCTTTATAGGTAATGGGGATCCCCTCCACCACCACCAGTGTGCAGCCCCACCTGGATGATGCAACAGCAGCTAGAGTGCACTAGAACGCTCCCCACACACCAGCTCTCAGTGGGGAGGAGCGCAGAGTGATGAAGCCAGTTCATAGATGGGGATTATTAGGAGGCCATGATTGGTAAAAGCCAATGGTTAAATTTGGCCAGGATGCTGGTGTTACATCCCTACTCTTTTCAAGAACCCCCTTGGGATTTAAAATGACCACAGGGAGTCAGGACCTCAGTTTTACATCTCATACGAAGGATGGTGCCATTTTGTTTTACAGTGTGGTGTCCCCATCATTAGGACCCACACAGACCACGGGATGAGCGCCCCCTACTGGTCCCACTAACACCTCTTCCAGCATCAACCTTAGCTATTCCAGGAGGTCTCGCATCCAGGTACTGACCAGGCTCACGCCTCCTGAGGTTCAGTGGGCTGCCAGCTGTGAGTTGCAGGATTATATAATTTAGCTGCTATAAACAAGGGCTCCAAATCAGAACAGTGCTCAGTATGCGTGGGCTCGTGCTTCTGAATCATATCATTAAGGCTGCAGCCCTCACAGTCACTCACTATGCCTGCGCTCCACAATCCTGACAAGAGCTTTTCCTGCTGGCTGAGTACCACATAAAAGTACTGTCCCTGTGACTCACACGGTACCCTTTCACCCGCCAGTGGTCACAGTCTGGACAGGCCTCCTCGTCCTGGAACAAACCAATGTCACACTCATTTGGTTCAGCTCATGTTTGGAATAACACTGAGGCCCCAGGCGTCTGGCACAAAAATTTCATAAGTAAACCAGCCAAAGTGCTTGCATAAGTAACTACACACATCTATCATATTCTGACTGCTCGGCAAAGTGGCTCAGCAAGCAAGCATTTAGTGTTTTCTGTAAGCTGCACTCAAGGGCGCAATGTCTGATTAGAATCAGTCTATTTGCTGCTCACAATAGGATTTTACGGTCCAGCAGCAGATCTGATTGCCGCTCTGAGAGAAGACCATGAACAGGACCCAGAATGTAGTAGCAGGAGGCTCACCATGCGGGTGAGGCACCGATCGCGGCACCAATTTTCAGTCTCGCCAAGGAGTGACGGGATGGGAGAAAAAAACCTCTCCGAAATCTTCCCTGCTTACCCTTTTCAGAAACCTGCAGCCCCCCCCAAAGAAGATTTCTCAAGTGCAAAAAAAAGTAGAAAACGAATTTCAAAGCTTTGAAAATTTCAATCTTTTCTCACCCGTCGATTTAGTCCTTTTCTTCTGGCCTGTTTACCACCGTTTGAGTGCTTCGAAATTACAGCCAGATTACAAATGACAAGCCGGCAAACCCAGGCCCACAAGAGCCCTTCTCTGTTGCAGAGTGAACGAAATCTAGAGTGATCACTCAGCCCCCACTCAGATGTTAAAACAGCGATAGCCTTGTTGATAGATTTGCTGGAGGTGGAGCTGCAATTCCGTGAACCTTGTGCAGATTCCTCCGATTCGGAAGAACAAAAAAAGGCCCCCAGTTGTTATGATTGTGCCGAGAGCGTTCTTACTTCCCTTCCATTTCAAACCGGCTTTTCTATCATTCTAACATTCCTCCGCGGCACGTGGTTTCAGCCGTAACCTCATTCTGGCAGCAGCTTGCTAACTGGCAGCCCACACTCGGGCACTTGTGTTGAACAACTGTACCCTGGAGTGGAGCACAGTGTGGGAGTGAGCGGGGGTGTTTTTAAACACAGCGATCCAGAAAAACGGCCCCCCGGGGAAAAAAGACAAAGCATTGTATTGTTTTGTTGTTACTCTGTGACCCATTCCCCTCCCCTAACCAAGCATTTTTGTTTTTAGCTTGTTTCTTTCAAACTCTGCCGTTGCTGTTCGTGTCCAGAACTCTTTCACCAGTTCGGGGATTAACAATCGTTACTCGGTGTTACTGCTACGATCCCTCTCGTACCAGGACAAGAAGGACGATGACAATGTCACGCAACGATGCTCCCCTCTCAGAGCCTCCATCCATTCGACCAATCCCGGTGGCGAAGTTACCACCAGGTGGAAGAATGGTGTGGTTCTCGTGAACAACCCTCGCTCACAAGCGCCCTGGCACGTCGCAAGGGATGCTGGTACCTGACTAACCATGGGTGGCCTGGCCAACCTGGGTGGCACTCAGCTGACTGCTCACCCCAGATGGGGAGTCCCGTCTGCAGTAGCCTGGTCTGGACTACAGATTTAATTTCTGCTTCACATGTTTTCCCTTACCAGTTGAGGGGAGCTCTCGGTCTCTTATTGGGAAACCACAGTGACCACAGTAGACCTGGAGTCTAGGGCCCAGCCTGTACTCTGTACTCCTGTACTACAGTCAGAAGCCCTCAAGTGAGGTCGGCTTTACCTTCAGCACAGTGATGTTCCAGGCGTAACTCTCCATGGCTTTTTGGAGCTTCCTCCCCTTCAGTCCCTCCTTGGCTCCGAGCCTGTGAAGGTCTTCGTGGAAATCCAGCCCTGGGACGAGAGAGAGGACACGTGCCGTTTTATTTCCGCCTGGGGGGGCAAGCGGCGTCAGAACAGAGTGGACGTTGGGAGGATGAAATCAGCCAAACGAGAAGAGCAGAGGACCTGTAGCCAGGAGGGGCGGGTGAAAACCAAGGGTTTTCTAGATTTCACCAGATTAAGCTAACTAATTCAATGTCCTAACTCACAGGACAAAACATTCTTTTCTTTTACAGTTGATCTGAGCTCATTTTAGGTGCAGCCAAGTATTCATGGAGCCATGATGATTTACAAAGTCCATATAGTCAAATACTTACATCAACTAAGCAGTTGCATGCTGACATATTGAGACACTGCATCTAATTCAGAAAGATTCATTCATCTATCAAGTCTTACATCCTAAGGCTATATTTGTCAACGATACCACCGTTAAGTATAATGTACTCACATTCTTCCTAGTATTGGGAAATTAACACGTTATGATAGATTATCTCATTTGAGGTTCTAGTTGCCGATACTAATGTCAGCTATTTCAAGTCATGACACAGAGGGCACAAATGCAGGAAGGCTCCGAGTGTCTCCGTGCGTGAGTGTCCTTTGTCATGTTAGGTCACCTGGGAATGGGAGGATTTGGCCTGCTAGACTCATTATTGCTCTAAAACTCAAATCCACCTGCCAGATACAAAGGACAAGCTTGCTCCCCGATGACAACAAATACTATGATCAGATGTTTCGAAACATAATCCCCCTGAAAGGCAATTAAGTTGATGTCAGCGTCAGCTGGGAATTCAGAGAAGACTTCATTAAACGTAGCGCCCCTAAACAAATTTCCAGGAAGAAAATGTTATAGCAGGAGGCCTGCCACAGACGAAAGCTGGCAGGATCAAGGCTGTTAGTCATGGGTGAGACAAGCTGCAGGACAGAAACGTGCACCCTGGAGGGCACAGATGGAGACTGAAGGGCCCAGTTGGCACAGCTGAGCTCAATACTTCTTCTACCCTCTCTGCTCAACCCATGGGGATCACTTCTAACCTTAGTCCCTAACACAGCAGGTCTCTCGGGACTGTACTCGAAATAAGAAAACAGTTCACACATGCAAAGCGTTGCCATATATAAATGAGCAGGCCTGACTTTGAGATAATGCAGCCCAGATAAAACACCTAGCACAAAACAGAACAGGCGCATTACGATCTTGTAGTTCTGCATTCCTCCTGTAGACAGTCTTACAGGTGACAGCCATTTATCGGATAAGCACAGGAAAAATGTGGGAATAGTGGACTGTTCCACTTGGTGCTTAGTTGCGGGGATGTGAGATCCCAATATTGCATTCAGTGCTGAGTCCATATTCAATTTGTAAAGGGCAGCCTGCTGTAGGGTTCCTGCTACAAATACTGTGCCTAGTTTTAGCTGGTTAGGCCCTTGAGTGGGTTCAGATATCAACCTGTGCTCACTTAAAAGTCGTTCATCTGAATAAAAGGAAAGCGAGTTACAGTCACTGATGTCAGAAAAAAACTCTTGGCCTTATCAGTCCTGGAACGGAGGTACAGTAGTCATACGCTCCAGAGAAAGCCGTTCTGCCGCCTTCTGCTGTCGGAGATTCCTGACTGGACCCTTCTGGCGCTCTCCCGATGCTCAGATACGTTTGTTAAAGTGAATCGCTCCACACACACATTTCCCGAGCTCCGAACCGGCAACCCTCTGCTGTTTCTCCTCGCACTGACTCACTGTCGCCACTCCCAGAGGCGATTGCCGGTTGACTCTCAAGTGTGCTAGGAAGGCCGCATTATTGTGCTGCTCATTGCAAACCTATGTGCTACATTCGAAAGACCTGGATTACTTCTGCTCCAAATACAAAAGGGCTCCTGGCAATAACTATTTTAAATAGCATGAATAATGAACATGTCATGGCCAGATGACGAAAAGGATTGGAGGACTGGAGGTGGGGGTGCGGGGGGGGTCGCTGATAGACAGGCAATGATGAGGGCGTCTCAGCCCTCAGCACCCCACACCTATCTGCTCCATGAAATTTTAGGTTTCTTCTTCTGATGCACCGGTGATGCAGGCTGAGCGCATTTTCAGAACAGCTCATCTTGTCCGCCACAACACTGCACTTGGCCTCATAATGCAGCCATGGTATTCTTTCAGGGTTTTTTTTTTTACAGTCCCAGTTCTGACCCATTCTTGCCCATCCTGGGTCATCTCTATAATCCCAATACCCCACATGGGTGAGAACACTGGTCGTTCACAGTGGCAAATTAGAGCCTAACACTGGACAGTGATCCACAGGCTTACAAAGGTTACCTGCTTGGCTCCTGCCCTTTTAAAACAGGCCATTTGAGGAAACCCAGTCAACAAGTGGTTAGGAATCCAGCCCAGATTCATAAAAACATTAAAATATTAGAATAGACTCAAACAAAAGAAAGTTATTCAGACTGCATGTTTTTGTTTGTTTGCTATAGTGGATGGCTGATCTAATGACCTTATCTAGTTATTTCTAGACAATGGAAGCCAAAGTCATCTTCAGGAGCTTGGCTGGGCAGCTTGCTCCAGACTCCAACCGCTCTTTGTGCAAATATGCAATACATTCTTGTTCACTAACAGATGAGAGCAAAGCATTTTCAGGCTGTAGGGTCTCATTGGGGAAGGGCAGATCTATTGGGTAAGTTAGTTAGAGGCATCTTGGAGGATTTAACATACAGTAACACTGCACAAGCGATCACAACTCTACAGAGTGGGCTGCATGCCCTGCACAGTCCGTGTAGAGAGAACAAGCCATTGTCAGAGTATGTAGGATGGGGAGTGTGAGTGTGAACAGTTATTCCAGCTGAAAGGCTTGTGCAGAAGTCTGCAACGCAGCCTTTAAAAAGCCATTGTCTCTGTTGTTTGTACCCTGGGATCACGCAGTTCCTGTAGTAGTACAGTCAAAGAGAAACAGGACACCACTGGAGAGAAGCGTGCTTTGATCTCCGACATTTCCTTGGTAACAGCATTCATCCGAGAGCCCACATTCGGGCTGACAAGCTCGTGGGAGACAGCAGAGAAAGTATGCACACACAGAAACCTTGGCTCACGTCATTCCCTCACCCACGAAACTCCCACAGGTGTGTAGCGTCTATTTATAGGGCCCCGCTGTGCTCGTTCCCGACCACATCTCTTAAGGACGTTTTTAACTGATCAAAGCTGCGGCGTCCCTCGGTGACGAGTAGATTCGGGAGCAAAAAGTGCCTCTCTTCTCAGCCCTGCCTCCTGCCTTTTTTCCTCCGATTTTTTTCCAAAAGGCTCCTTTAAAAAAAACTGGTGTCTCACGTTCACAACTGCGACTTGAGCACTCCTAGCACGGGGGGTGGAAAAGAGCAGAAGGATAACACACTGAGAGCATACCTTGCTCTGCTGACAACAACGGGAATGTTAATGAATACAGGTGACAAGTTTCCCAGAAGGACTGAGGAGAGGAGGCACGCGTCAGTCAAAGTGAGAGGGCAGAGCAAAAGATAGCCCAGTGACAGCTAAACGCAAAAGAAAACAACAGCCTCATGCTCGATAAATGAGAAAAACAGACTTCATTAAAAAAAGTGTTTCAAGCACGCCACGGGGTCTTTGATAACGTTTTCAATAGTGTAGCAGCGTAATTGAGTTTTTATCCTTATCTCAATGACGGTGATGTCAGTCTCTTCTGCTATAAAGAAATAAACAGAAAAAGCTCCTTAAAGACGTTCTGCCTGTGTAGCTGGAAAAACTTGAATACTGAGCAGGCTAACAAGTGGAAGGTCTTTAATAGAACGGTTATATAAATCTCATTTATTTATGTACATATGAGCAACAATAATTTGCAGCTCTGAGTAACATTGTGCCACAATGAGAATAATAAGCAGCCAGCACAGCACAGTGGGAAAGTGTCTGGTTTCGTGGGTTGTGGGTTCGAGTCCCTGCTGCAGACACTGCTGTCGCACCTTGAGTGAGGTACTGTAAGCCAGTTGACCCCAGTTGCTTTAGTCCACCCTCCTGTAAAAGTTGGGGACCAGCATCTGTGATGAGATCAGTCAGATCAGTTATTAACCTATTCAAACTAAAACCTTTGGGATTGGTACTTGAATGCCAATGGGATTTAGGAACATTGCTAGGTTTTCCACATTAGCTTCAGCTAATTAGTTATGTAATCCTTTATGAGTCACTAGGAGACATTTTCCAGCTCCCTTACACAATAAAACAAGGACAAAACGGCAATGCAGAGTTGGTACAGAGTGCAGAAAACACACTCATAAGGCAATAAGAGTAGAAGTTAATGGCTAAATAGGTTTATCACAAACAAATTAGACAACATTAGATATTGCATACAAGAGGAAAAAGGCAGCAGTTACCAGGTTTCATTGTTTCATTATTATGTTACCACAAGCTAGATGAGGCTTTCTTACGTACATGCAACCTTGGAGACACGCATCTTCGACCTGTGCTACGTAAGGGATTCTGGGAAATAACGGGCTAAAAAACTTCCTTCGGGGAGTCGGGAAGACTCTCTGGCTGCCAGGCTTTCTGGAATGTGCCACCCTCCTGCAGTGCATCTCCTCATCACGGCCGCACGCCATTAGGCGTCCCGCCAGTTCCCTGCACAGAGGACCCCTCACGCCGCCTGGGACCGACAGGTTTCGGAAACTGGGATAAGGCTTCCAGTTCAGTAGATACACAGTGCCCCTCTCGGTGTTTCCCCCTCCAGTTCCCCCTCTCCGTGTACTTAATGTGTACTCCATGTACTTGCCAGCAGCCGTGTCACCCTGCAGCTCCCAGCTGGCAGCCCACTGGAGCTCAGCAGGTGTGAGCCTGGTCAGTACCTGGATGGGAGACCTCCTGGGAAAAACTCAGGCTGCTGCTGGAAGAGGTGTTAGTGGGGGCAGCAGGGGGCGCTCACCCTGCGGTCTGTGTGGGTCCTAATGCCCCAGTATAGTGACGGGGACACTATACTGAAAAAAGGTGCCATCCCTCAGATGAGACTGGTGCACTATGGCTGCTGTTATTAT